ATGAAGGGAATTGGGTAGAAATGATAGGGGTGGTGGAAGGGGGGTATATGACCTATGAGGGTAGAGGAGGAGGTCATATGTGGAGGTATGCGTGGTGGGGAGGGGGTGGGGGGGGGCGCGGGGTGGGGGGTGGGGCGGGGGGGGGCGGCCAGGTGGGCTTTGGTCTCAGCGACGACGTCAGCGAAATTTGTGCCTTTTTTGCTTCGTCATGCTCAGTGTGGGGTGGGCATGGGGGAAGGCTAGGAGGGGAGGGGGGGAGGGGATGAATGGGAGGTGGGGTGTATGTAGTGTGTATGTGGTGGTTACCTACCATCGTCAAAGGTCTCCTCAAAGTAGATCTTGCCATGGGCAAGCTGGGCCACAATGGCCAGCGCAACGAGAAACAGGCACACAGTCTTCATAGCGACAAGTGGGTGGCGATAGCATTATTTGATGTACCCTTTATCGTTACGTTTGCCTGACTTGGGGGGATTGATTGCCAACCAACGATCTTTTGTTATTGACATTGTTCAATGGCACCTCGTCTCCGCCACCATTGATATTCTCTTGTTGATGTGATTGTCACTTTCTTTGCTCTCTCCCACGATCGAGTGATGCGATGATTATGACTCGTCGACGGCAAGCACACACTTCATTCACAGCGACGTCTCTGACTCGGCATGCGATCAACACTCTCGGTTGCTGGCCTACCGGGCGCTCCGCTGGCTCGACGGCTTGAGAGATTTCCCCCTGCGCTGGCCATCTTTGCCAGCATATCTTGCCGATCGGCACGGTCACCCGCGTGTGCATGAGCGCCGTTCGATGGCTCGCGTACACACGATGTCCAGGTAAGAGGTGCTACGCCCTAGGATTGTTTAAACTCGATTTTCACCTACCTTGATCCTTGTTGCTGCTAGACGAGGGCGGTCTTCGTCGTGCCAATCGAATGGCACCAGCTGTCGGGGTACGCGCGAGCAGATCACACGCAGCCGAGGGATGGGAGCGAGGAATGGGAGGGTGCTGAGGGATGGCAGTCAATGGCAGCAACCGATGGCTGGCGAGAGCGGGAGAGTCGACAGACGCGATCAGGCACAACATCACCACCATCTCCACCACATAGACAGGGAGCGAGGAGGAAGAGATGGAGGGGGCGAGCGTCCACCCACCTCCAGTTCATGACCCACTACTCCACATCAGCCTCAGCCTCGGCCCCAGCGTACCGCTGGACCTTGTACGCCACGTTGCGCCACATACCGGCACCACGGGCCGGCAGCGCCCACTGAGCCTTCCTGCGCACGGGAGGGTAGGGGTGAGTGGACAACGGGTACATGTGGTAGGCACGTGATGGGCATGTGTCGAACAAGAGTGGCGTAGACGGAGCGTGAGCCGGGCCGGGGGCGGGGCGAGGCGGGAGCGGGAGGGGCAGTCGGCTGGCTCGGTCGGCGTATTTTTGGGCGTGGCGGGAGGGGGTACGGGCATGGGGACAGAGGGCGTGATATAATGGTGGTGGGGATGGAGAAAGTGGATACAGGGGTGGAAGAGGGAGTGGTAAAGAGGGTACGCTGTTTGGGAGGGGGTTGGAGGGGGTGGTGTAGGCTGGGGAGAGGGTGGGAAGGGGGAGGGGAGGGGGGGTATGTCGCGCGGGTGGCGGTGGTGGCGATGGCCATCCCCCCCCCCCCTCCCCCCTTCCACCCTTCTGGTGGGGGTGGGGGTGGGCATGGGATTCAACTTACAGCTCATCGGCACGGGCCTTGGTCTTGAGGAGGTAGCCGTTGCGGACAGCACGGCGGTGGTTCGGGTCCTCCATAAAGCTGGCAATAAAGGCAGTGATGAAGGCCATGTTGGGCGGCAGAAGCGGAGAGCAATGTGCCGTCGCTTGGTTGCCGCCCGCAACAGCCGCTCGCTGCGGAGTCGGTCGCCTCGCTGCCAGCCGACAGCCGCTCCTTGCCGCCGCCAGCCTGACCTGGCGTGGGTTTTGGGGGAGGCAAACATGTATATCTACATTATGCGAGTCAATGGCAATAATGGGGAGGCAAGGTCGGACGGCCAGATGTGATCATCACAACTAACAGCCACCATCGACAACCACAGGAACTATTCATACGGGCATCACTTGGGCCCATCCACGGGCAACAAGATCATAGCCACGTTGCGGAACTTAAAGTCGGCGAGGAGGTGCGAGGCTTGTGGCCGGAGCCGCGGGTTGTCGGCCCAGCAGGCGGCGATCATGTCACGGACGGCCAGCGGGAAGATGTCGACGAGCGCCGGGCGGGTGCCCATCAGGATGGCGTGCCCGACCTCGAGAGCATTGATGCCGGAAAACGCGGTCTGGCCCGTGACGAGCTCGTAGAGGAGCGTGCCAAAGACAAACATGTCCGACTCGGGCGACGCCGCCGAGCCGCGTAGTTCGTCCGGCGACATGTACGCCACCGAGGGAACGACCGTCATGGTGCCCATGCTCGACTTGATGCCGCCGAGGCCAAAGTCGGTGACCGACGCGCCGCAGACCACGCTGCCGCTGTCGTCAACGCGGAGGAAGATGTTTGACGGCCGAAGCGAGCCGTGCGCCATACCGCGCTCGTGCAGCTCGACGAGCGCCTGGAGGACGTCGACGATCACGGTGTGGGCCCCGTCCTTGTCGAGCCGGATCGGCGCGCCTGCTGCAGTCTTGGGCGTGTGGAGCTCCCTGCGCAACGGCTTGCGTCCGATCTTTGTTGTCGCCACGCGCTCGACCGTTGCCAGTGAGCCGTCCTGAAAGTGCGGGCCGATGAGGCCGATGTATGGCGCATCAAAGCAGACGTGGATGAGCGGCGCAAGGACCGACGAGCACGCCGCTACTGTTGTCGCTGCCGCGCTATCGCGCGCAAACCGCACCAGGCTCTCCAAGTCCATGGCCTGCCGCAGTAGGACCTTGACTACGACAGCCGCTCCGTCGAGTTCGGCTTCGACTACCTGCGAGCACGAGCCGCGCACAGACGGGCCTTCCTGCAGCACAAGCTCCCGCATCAGCTTCCGCTCGCAGATCCACTTTTCGCCGCGGACGCCGAGCACAGGCGCCAGCCGCGGCGAGACGTGAGCAGACGCCGACGATCCGCTCATCGGCAGTGCAGAGAGCGGCAGCGCCAGAGCCCTGCTTTGGGTTCGCGGCAGTCGTGCGCTAGACTTTGTCCCCGGCGGACATGGTTTCGATGAAGACGACGGCGATGATGATGATGATGATGATGATGAGGAGGATGATGAGGGTGATGATGATGACGACGATGATGAGGATGACGATAAAGAGCGTCGTGATGATGAAGATGATGTCGTCGGCGGCGGCGGCGGCGTCGACGATGACGCCAACGCCGTCGAGTCCAAGCGCAAGTTGGACGAGCCACTATGCACCCTCTCGTCGTGCTTTGTCGCCGATGTCGATGCCGTGCCGTGCGCTGACGGCGAGTCCGGGTGCGAGCTGCTCGATTCCCCGTGGCACGTAGTCGCGGCCTCTGCTCGCGGCCTGCGCACCCGCCGGATCTTGGTCTCCCTGCGCTTCCGCGAGGGCGATCCCAGGCTGCGCTGTGCCCTTGATCCGCCAGTGTCCGATCGTCTCTTCTTGGCCTTACCCTTGGCCTTACCCTTGACCTTGGCCTTGCCCTTACCTTTGCCCTTACCTTTGGCCTTGGCTTTGCCCTCGACCTTGCGATTGGCCTTGGCCTTGGCCTTGGCTTTTCTCCTACCCTTGGCCTTGGCTTTGGCCTTGCCCTTGGCCTTGCTCCTACCCTTGGCCTTGGACTTGGACCCAGCCCTGCCCTCCAGCTGGACCTTGTGATCGCCGCGGCCATCACCGCTTGCGCCCTGGTGACAGCTCTCCGACGACGTCATCTCGTCCTCCTCCTGTTCGGTGACGACGTCGAGCCTAGTGTCAGTCACAATGGTCCCGGCAGGGACTGACGCCGATGAGCTGTCCATGAGCGACGTGTCCGCCTCCCGCGACACAGAAAGCTCTGCGTCGATGGTCTGACGCAGAGGGTTGTGGCGATGTGACTTGCTCCGCTTGCCCCGCATGCTCCGCGACAGTATGCTGGGCTCCGAGTCTGGTCGCAGCAAGTCGCTGGTGCGCATACCAGCTCCGCCGATCGTGCCAGGGCTCAACGATGGCGGCTGGAGCGAGGCCGACGCCGGTGGGAGGCCTGGGCTCGGCGGGAGTGCCGCCAGCCCTTGGCCACTGCCACCGCGAACAATACGGGTGGCGCCCCTAGACTTTGGCCTCGAAGTCGACTTGGCCATCGACTTGGACCTGGACTTGGATATCGAGACCGAGACCGAGTTTGCGCCTGCACCGGATCTGCGGGCTGGGTTGCCCGCGCGGCGCGGGATGCTGCCCTGGGCGTCTGGCGATGAGGTGAGTCGACTGGCAGAGGCATAGATGCCGGTGCCACGGCCAAAGTCGAGGGTGGAGGTGCGGGCCGATGGTAGTTGGAGCGACTTTGCGGCCAGGGAGAGCTCAGCCACCTTGGCAAAGTCCGTCGTCCGCATGATGCGGTAGATGTCCTTGCTCTCGGACGCCTCGTGGACAATGGTGAACGGCGGCGGGACGCCGCGAGCGGCGAGCTCGGCGCCGAGCCCGGCCTCGACAAAGAAGCCCGAGGAGACCGGCGCCGAGGCCCAGAGCGACGACGGGCGGTTTTCAGCATAGTCGGAGACGTCCAGACCACAGTAGGCAAGGCCAAACACGGAGGCCCACGTTGTGCGGAGTTTCTCGATGACTTCGCCTCCGGCTTCGCTTGTGCCGTACAGCGACGGGCCGTGGGTGATCATGCCCGAGGCGGCGACAACGGCGACGGGCCCGACGACGCGCTCGATATCCTCGAGGGCACGGGCAAGGGGCAGAAGCTGCGATGATTTGGCAAAAGCGACCGTGACGGCGCCGAGCATGGCGCGAAAGATGTGCGCGCCGGTAGCGACGAGCGAGGTATTCACGACTTGGTGGAAGGAAGAGATGAGCTCGGCGGTTGCCTCGTGGTCCTTGAGTAGGTGGCCAGCGATGCCCGGGATGGCGAGGTGGACGGCGACAACAAGGCCGGATGGGTGTGTCGGCGCTTTGGGATACATGACGTCAGCGAGCGAGTACGTCGACTCGAGGAGCTCCGAGGTGGCGTGGAGTGAGAGTCGCTCGCTCGGCTCGTTGGACCAGAGGCAGGGAACGAGGTGAACAATTGGCTCAAAGACCGAGGAGACGCAAGTGAGATCTGGCCGACGGCCGTCGATGACCTCGAGAGCGACCGAGAGCGGGTTCTCGCCCGGATACAAATCGGAGCGAGTGGCCATTTCCCAGAGCGTGATGGCAAAGGCATAGGTGTCCGAGGCCTCAGACATGGCGGACGCACCGCCGATGAGGACCTCGGGTGCGGCCCAGAAGAGGGTGCCAACCTCGAAGCGGATGCCGTCTGCGGTGGCTGCGCCCGACATGAGAGAGCGGTTGGCAGAGATGTGGGTGGTGGTGGCGGGAGGCGCGCCGGTCGCCGGGGCGACGGTGCTGGCGCGATGGCGAAAGGAGCGTGAGTGCGACGAGACGAACCGTGTCGGTGGGCGTGTGGCCGAGGCGGCGGCGACGGCAACCAGGCCCGAGTCGGCCTTGATGGACGACATGCCAAAGTCGGCGATCTTGGGCGACCACGAGGAGTCAAAGAGAACGTTGAGCGACTTGACGTCGCCGTGGACAACGCCTGCGGCTGCGAGAAACTCGAGGCCCTGGGCCACGTTGTGGGCCCACTTGAAGATGATTGACGGGTCGAGGACGAGATTCGGCTTGTGCAGAACGTCGTAGAGCGAGCCGTGGTCCATAAACTCGGTGACAATGGCGGGCGGATCGAGGATGACGCCCATAAAGATGAGGACGTTGGGGTGGCGGAGGCGGAGGAGCGTCGAGGCCTCGTCTACAAACTGGCGCAAGCGTTTGGGCGTGAGTGTGGCCTGGCGTGTTCGCTTGACGGCAACGTCTGTGGCGCGCCAGCGCCCGCGGTACACGGTGCCGTACGAGCCCTCGCCGACGCAGACCGAGAGGACAACGCTAGAGGCGGGGATGACGAGCTTGTCGTCCGAGCCGAGGCGGTAGACAATGGAGCGGCGCTTGTGGAGGACGTAGGCGATGATGGCGATGGCGGCGACGGTGAGGGCGACGAGCGAGAGGACGATGCCGAGGATGAGCGCGAGCGAGTTGGCCGGCTTCTCGCTGGCGAGCTGGATCGAGTAGACGCCGGTGACCAGCGACGACGGCTTGAGGCCACTGGCTTGCGCAAACGCCTTGAGGTGGTATGTCCCGGTGGTGCCGAGCGAGATCGGGCCCGAGTAAACGGTCGACGCGGTGGTGGGCACCTCGTCGGCAAAAAGGGTAAAGTAGATGACAGCGTCGGGCATGGGCGAGACTAGGGTAACCACGATGGCGGTGGTGTACGTGCCCGAGGCAATATTAGTGGTCGGCGGGAGGGTCTGGAGGTGGACCAGGCGCTGGCGGTCGATCTCAAAAGACTCGAGATTGTCGACGACGGCAGCGTTCGCGGCGGCGGGAGTGGGCGCAAGGAGCATTTCCGAGATGGCCGATGACCAGCGGAGGCCGAGGCGCGCCACGCCAAAGCCGACAAAGGTGTTGAGGCGAAAGACCTTGGACGAGGTCGCCTGCTTTGCAGCGAGCGAGTCGCCGACGAGGTACTGCAGCGACTTGCGAATCGGATACGCGTCGCCAAGCTTGCCAAGGAGTTCGGCCTGGACGTCGCGGCAGCCGGCATAGCGGAGATACTCGAGCGCTTCGTTCTTGTAGGCTGAGCTTTGTGGGATGCCGAGGTTGACGAGGAGGCCGATGGTGGCGTCGGTTGGCTCACCAACAGGCCGCGAGCCGCGGAGGCCGTCGTATGTCGGCCAGTAAAAGGTGACAATGTCGGAGGCGTTGAGCCCACGCTCGACGGCAAAGAACCGGGTCGACTCCATGCCGCACCCGATGACGACGTCGTCGGACGCCAGATCGGCAACCAGGTAGTGGTTCGGAGGCTCAAATGCGCGGTTCGGCTCGATGTAGCCGAGCTCGAGCAGATTGAGGACTTCGGCGAGCGTGTTGTTGACCCGCGGGTCGGTGAACGAAATGTTGCCCTCAAAGAAGTCGACGTAGGCCGAGTTGCCGTGCATGGTGATGAAGAGAAAATCAAAGAGAACGGTGGGTGGAACAAACGGCAGCTCCTGGGCGGCGAGGCAAGTTCTGCCTGTAGCCTTGACGGCGGCGCAGAGGCGCTTGAGCTCGGAAAAGGTTGTCGGGGCGGCGAGGCCAAGCTCATCCTCGACCACGCGGCGGTTGTACATGCAGAGCTCGGCGTCGCCGAGAATGGGGATGCCGTAGTAGGCACCATCGTCGCCCATCGACGCGGTCTTGGCAATGTCCAGTGCATCGTCTTCAAAGCCGAGCTCGTGCCAGACGTGCGTCACGTTGACAAAGTTGTCAACGTTGCGGAGCTTGGCGCCCTGTGCGGCAAAGAAGAGCGGAATGAGATCGGGGCCGACAAGCGAGTTGAGCCAAGGCGAGTAGACTTGACGATCCCCTGAAAAAGTAGCCAACATAGGATTAATGGTAAACGTTGCATTTGCCCGACCATTAAAAGCCTGAATCAGCGCATGCTCGCCCACACCACCTTTCATGGGCAGAGGAAACCAATAATGGTATCTCAACTGCGGCACCAATCCCAAGTAGCCATCATCGAGCGCCTTGCCCACAGCACCGGGTGCCACACCTTGTACTTGCTCTGCTGCCACCATCCATGCTGCTGCTGCTGCTGATGATGATGATGATGATGATGATGATGATGATGATGATGATGATGATGTGGGGGGGAGAGGGTTGGCGAGGATGATCATGATGGTGATCATGATCATGATCATGATCACACGCGCCCGGGTGATCAAACTTGATCCACCACCCACCAACATTGGTGGCGGAACAAGGGGTGGATTCCGGGGTGGTGGGGGGGTTGGGGGGAGGGTGGAGGGTGGGGGGTGGTGGGGGGGATAGGGGGGTAGGTGGGGGGTCTGGAGAAAAGTGGTCGGCGTGAGTGGTGGGGAATGGGGGTAGCGGGTGGTGGGAATGGGGGAAGTGAGGTCGGCCGAGTGGATAGTGGGTGAGCGGACCGAGGGGCGGTGGGAAGGGTAGGGGAAGGAAGGTTAAGTGGCGGGTGGTCGAAAATTAGGAGTGGAGATGGGTTGACGGTGACAGGGTGGAGGTGGGGCCGGGTGGGGTTGGGGAAAGGAGAAGGAGAGGGGAAAGGGAAGGGCCATGTAAAGGGGTATGAATGCAAGTGTGGGTGTGGGTGTTGGTGTGGGTGGTGTGTGGTGTGGCTGGTGGGGATGGTGGGGATGGGAGAGTAATTGAGGGCAAGGTGGAAAATAGTTTAGTCTACGGATGCTTCACCGGGACAACGTGACTCGCCAGCGGAACGGCTGAACGGCTTCCGGGCAACCAACCGACTCTGCTCGCGTTGCGGCGCGGTGCGGCGAGGAGCGGGTGGGAAGGATGCCTGGCCGAGGCCAACAGCGGCAGCGGCAGGGCGAGCAGCACGTGACTGCGGGAAGAAGAGGCAGGCGCAGGGTGTGGCAATGTCTGGCGGAGGTCTGGTGTGGACACAGGGCGCATACAGCGACCTCCGGCGGAGCTTCAATCTTGTCCGCGAGGCCAAGAGCGAGACCATCGGCCTCTCGGAGCTCTCCGAGCTGGCAGCGGCCTTTGGCGCGAGCGTGAGTCCGACCGATGTGGCGCTGCTTCGGCGAGCTCTGGCGAGTGGTGGAAGCGGGGCTGGTGATGGCGATGGTGAAGGTGATGGCGATGGTGATGGCGATGGCGATGGCGATGGTGCGGGAAGGCGTGTCGGCGAGGGAGATCGTGCCGGGCCCGGGGCTGGAGCTGGGGGTGGGGACGGTGGCGATGTGGCGAGGATGGTGGCCAAGGCGTCGGTGGCAGGGGCGGCGGGAGGGATGGGGGCTGGGGCTGGGGCTGTGAAATCGTCTGACTCGCTGGCGCACATGAGCTCGAGCACGGCGAGCTCGGGACTGTCCGGAGCGAGCCGAGGCGGTGGGCGAGCGGCGACGGAGATGGGAGCGTGTGGGACGAGGACACGGGTGGGATGCGGATTAGCTGGCCGATTTCTTGGCGTTTATGCAGGGCAAGGCGATGGCCAACAGCGCGGCGGACGAGCTCGACTCGGCGTTTGCGGTCTTCTCCAAGGCTGCGAGCGGGGATGCAGGCGGGGCGGCGGCGCTGGGTCCGTTTGCCGGCGATGGTTCGCGGAGCGAGGTCGTGGATCTTGCGCAGATGGAGTCGGTGTTGACGCGCCTGGGCGGAGCGCGGCAGCTAAGACGCGACGAGGTTAGCGACTTTGCGGCAGCAGCGCGGGCGTGCGGCGGCGAGCTCTTCTCATACCGCAACATGGTGACGCTGATGATGACCGGCGTGCTCTCGCGCGAGCACGTGCGCCGGGAAACCAGCCAGAGACATGGTGATGAAGACGAGGCTGGGGGCGCGGGGCCCGAGGCTGGCGACGCGGTCGACGGCAGCGGCACCAGTCCACGCCCGGGCGATCGGCTACGGCGGGGCGGAAGCCGGCGCGTAATGAGCATGCCCGGGCGCGGAGGCGGGCGAGTGCGGCCGGGTAGCGGGCTGACGCCGCGCCCGCCGTCTGCCCGCGGCCGTGGCCGCGGCCGGAGCGCTCGCGGTCGGGGCAGCCGAGGTGGCAGCAGGCCGGGCTCGCGCAGCTCGCCGGCCACCGTCCAGCGAGTCTACTCGGGCCCGATCACGCGCTAGCAAGCGCGCGCGAGTGGCAGACTCGGGAGTGTGCTGTTAATACAGGGAGGGGGGCGCTAGAGTGGCGGGAGCGGGCCAAAGCGGGCGGCGGCGCGAGCAGAGATGCCGAGCGCGGGGTTGATGGGCTCGAGGCCTTCGTAGCCGAGCAGTGAGAGGCCGCAGAGGCCGAGGTGAGTGTGGAGTGGGTCCGGATGGTGGTCGGGCCACTTGGCGAGGCCGCCGATGGACTGCTGGGTGGAGAGATTGTACGAGGTGTTTGAGTCGATGTCGACAAAGTCGTAGGCGTCGAGGAGGGCGAGGGCGGCACCGACCCAGTACGAGTAGCATGTGTCGGTCTTCTTGTTTGGGCGGCCCTGGAAGCCAAACTGCTGGCGGGCAACAAGCCACTCGATGAGGCGGGCGGTGCGGGCGTCGCCAAGGGCGCCGAGCCGGCCGAGGAGGCGGAGGGTGCCGACAGCGCAAAAGGTCGAACCGGCGTGCGACTCCTGGCCGGGGCCTTGGGCGATGCCGCCGTCAAAGGCGATCGAGGCGAGGATGTAGCCAACGGCAGCGTCGGCGTCAATCGCCGACGTGTCGCCAAGCATAAAGGCGACTGCAGTGGCGGTGTAGAGGAAGCGCATGTCCGACTCGGACGGGTGTGCCAGCGGCGAGAAGGCGCCCGATGGCAGCTGCAGCTTGCGGAGCGCATCCAAAATAGCAGCCTTGTCGACCCGCTCAAGTCCATCGTCGCAAACCGCCAGCGTGCACAGCGCCGCGTAGGTGAAGGCAAGATGTCCGTAGTCGTACGCCAGGGCGCACTCGCATCCCTCATCCGACGTGACTTCCGGGTAGCGGGCGCCGACAAACGAGCCACCACGGAAACCGGCGCGACGAGCCAGATGCGGGTGATTGACGTTGTCCTCATCCACGAGATGACCATGACCATGACCATGACCACCATGACCACCATGACCACCATGACCACTCTCACCACCACACTCATCATCATGACCATCTCGGCTGGCATGAAGCAGATGATCCGGAATGAGCTGCTGTGCGTAGACCCAGTCAATGATCTCCTCCTTCTCCACCACATCCATCCCTCCCAGTACATCCAGTCCGGCCGTGGAGAAAAAGGCAAGTGTCATCCGATTCTGGTCGAGCGAGACGTAGTCGCCCGGAAGGACAAGGAGGCCACGATGGAGAAACCTGAAGGGGGGGAGGGGGTGAGTTGCCATGCGGGGTAGGGGGTGGGGAGGGGGGGTGGGGTGGGGTGGGGGGGGGGTGGTGGGGGAGGGGGGGTAGGCTTACTTGATGTGCCGGTCACGGAGGAAGGCGGTCATGGTTGGTGGGGTGTGGGGGTGAGTGGCGTGGCTGTGGCTGAGGGTTTGGTGGTGGTCGTGGTGGTGGTGGTCGTCGTCGTCGTCCTGTCACCTGCTGTGGGTGGGCAAGTGGGCGGGTGGTGGTTTGGTCGCCCCCCCCCCCCCCCT